GTAAGCTAAACACAATGGTACAATAGTAAGTCTTAGGAACTCTAGAGGCCGAGGCAAGAAACTGGCCTAGGCAAAAGACAAGATATAGATATATATAGATATGCTCACAACTATCTGTAACTCCAGTTTCAGGAGACCCAATGCCCTCTTCTGGCCTCTGCAGAGAACCAAACATGCTGGCAATACACATACAAATATGCAGACAAAATGCTTTCACATGTAAAATAAAAACAAATCTTTAAAACGGAAGTACAGAAGGGCCAGCAAGATTACTCAGTGAGTAAAAGGCTTGCCTCCAAGACTGATGACCTGAGTTTGATTCCCCAGAATTAAAATAGTAGTGAGAATTGACTCCTACACCTACACACACACCTACACTACACACAGGCTTATTTTAATGTAGAGCACATGAAAAATAATTAAAAATCTGATGCATATCAGTTATGAACTGTGGAGTCTGGAGAGATGCTTTAGAACATGAGTAAGACTCCTACACTCCTCTCAGGAAAATCAGTCTAGTTACCACCTTGACAGTGTACAGTGGCTAAGCAGTACAGACTAAGGTGAAATAACCCTATCTACCATGCTCTTTAGGAACATACCCCAATGGTAGCATACCAGGAGACATGTGAACAATGGCCTAGGGAGTCCTTGTGTATATGTAAGGTCCAGCCAGACCCACCTGATCAACCTGCCTGAGACCCTAAACATGGGCTACCCCACTGAGCTGCTGTAGAATTCCAGAACCCAAAAACCATGGACAATAATGAATTATTATTACTATTTCCAGTCATCAACTGTGGAGGTAATTTGTTATGATGCCATAGTAGCCCAAACAATGACATTTAATCCACAGAATGGAGCCAAATGCCCTGTTCGTTCCCCTCTTGGGGACAGTCACAACTCCTGCAGGAAACAACTGTTACATCTGGACACCATACTGATTCTCAGAGAGACTGGAATAGACTTGTTTAGACGTCACCTTCTTTTAAAGGCCACACATAGATGTTATACTGATTCTGGAAAGCCTGGAACAGAACAAAGCCTTGTTTGGGTGCCACAAAGTTGGTACAAGTTTTTAAAAAAAAAAAAAAAAACTTTTCAAAACAAAATGAGGAAGCCGGGCGATGGTGGCGCACACCTTTAATCCCAGCGCTCGGGAGACAGAGGCAAGCAGATCTCTGTGAGTCTAAGGCCAGTCTGGTCTACAGAGTGTGTTGTAGGACAGCCTCCAAAGCTACAGAAAAACTGTCTCCAAAAACCAAAAAAGTAAATTAATTAATTGATTAATTAAAAATTAGTAGGGCTGGAGAGAAGGCTCAGTGCTTGTTATCATTCCAGAATATCCAAGTTTCATTCCCAACACCCATCAGGAACTCACAACTGCCAGTAACTGCAGCTTCAGGGACTCTGATTCTCTTTTCTGGCCAATGTGGGCACTGGCACACACATGGCATATACTCACATAGACACATCATACATATAAATAAAAATAAATCTTACCAAAACCCATTTTATGAATATTAAAAATGAGAGTATAATTTGTGCCTTTATTTGAGATAAGGTCTCATAAAACCCAGGAACCACAAACTCCTGAGGAAGCCGAGGCTGGATTTGAACTTCTTCAACTCTTGCTTCCTCCTTCCACGAATGCTGGGATTACAAGAATACCACCATGTCCAAATCTGAGTCTAAAGTTTATGCCGAGATGCAAAACACTCAGACAATACATTACTGAAGAAACAGAAGAACATTAGTGGATTTATTATAGAACTACTGCAATCAAGCTAGTGCACTATAAGCAAAAGAACAGACAGAACAAAGTCCAGAAACAGAAGAGCATCAATACACCAAATGATCTTCGGCAAAGCCCCAAATCTGATTCAAGAGAGCAGAGTCTGATCAACATCTTGAACAACTGGATATCTGCATGTTTAAAAAAAAGGGGGAGGGGGTCCTAGAGCTGGGCATGGTGACACGCACTCCCGAGACAGAAGCAGGTGGATCTGAGGCCAGCCTGGTCTACAGAGCAAATTCCAGGACAGCCAGGACAGCTACACATAGAAACCCTGTCTGGGGTGGGGAGGTGAGGGAGAGTAGATAATCTAGACACAGACCTGATACTCTTCATGGGCCTAAGTGTGGAGTTTAACACTCTAAGGGCTGGAGCAATGGCTCAGAGGTTAAGAGCACTGGCTGCTCTTCCAAAGGACCTCAGTTTGATCCCCAAAACCCACATGGCAGCAACTGTCTATCACTGCAATTCCAAGGAGTCTAATGCCTTCTCTGGCCTCCAGGGCACTGCACTCATGTGATGCACAGATATAAATACAGGAAGCCATGTGCACAAAATAATTTTAAAAAGACCAGTGGTTCTCTACCTTCCTAATGCTGCAATCCTTTAATAAAGTTCCTCATGTTATGGTGACCCTCAACCATAAAATTATTTTCACTGCTATTTCATAACTATATTTTTGCTACTGTTATGAATCACAATGTAAATATCTGATATGCAGGATATCTGATATGTAATCCCAGTGAAAGAGCCATTTGTCCCCGCAAAACAGTCTCAACTCACAGGTTGAGAACCAATGTCCTAGATGATAATATTCATATGCTTAATTTTAGTAAACTTTGAATAGGCACAATCACCAAGCATGGTAATACATGACTTTAATCCCAGCACTGGGAAATCAGCAGCAGACAGATTACTGATAGTTCAAGACCAGTGTGATCTACAAAGTGAGTTTCAGGCCAGCCAGAGCCACATGATGAGACCATTCCTCAAAAATAAATAAATAACTGGCGAGGCGCCCTTCAGTATGTGACACTGGGGGCTGAACAAATGGCTCAGCAGTTAAAAACATGTCTTAAGGGAGTTGAGGCCACCCTGGTCCACGAAACGAGTTCCAAGACAGCCTGCTACACAGAGAAACCCTGTATCAAAACACAAAACAAAACAAACAACAACAACAAAAACATGTCATAGAGTTTCTACTGCTATGATAAGACGCCATGACCAAAAGCAAGCTGGGGAAGCAAGGGTTTATTTTAGCTTACAGTTCTACATCACTGTCCTTCAACAAGGGAAGCTGGGGCAGGACCTGAAGCCGAAGTCACGTCACGGAGGAACTGACTTACCGACTTGCTTGGTCTTCACAGCTGGCTAATTCTGCCTTCTTACAGCACCCAAGACCACCAGCCCAGGGGTGGCACTGCTCACTTAATCACCAACAAAGAAAGTTGGGCAACAGGACACTCAATTGAAGTTCTCTCTTCCCCTGGTCAGGGCAACACAAAAGTAGCCAGTGTATATATATATACCTTCTTGCAGAGAACCTGAGCTCAGTTCCTAGCACCCTCATTGACTGGGTTCCAGCTTCAGGTGATCCAACAACTTTTTCTGGATTCCTCCAGTACCTGTACTTACAACACTTGTACATCATCACACACACACACACAATACACATAATTAAAAAATAAACCTTTAAAAAGTGGGGCATTAAGCCAGTTAACACAGAAGAAACTTAAACCTCATATCACTAAGTGAAAGAAGTCAGTATGAAACGTATGACATTTTAGAATAAGCAGAACTAGAGGCAGTAAGAAGGGTGAGTGGTGACCAGTGGCTGAGAGAGGGAGGCATGAGCACTGAAACTACTCTGCTTGGCATTATAAAGGAAACTCAAAAAGCTTAGCATCTGGGCGGTGGGGGATGCTGTTTGGGCTGGAGGGATCGATAACTCAGTGGTTAAGAGCACTAGCTGCTCCTGCAGGGGACCTGTATTAGATCCCTAGCAATGACATGGTGTCTCCACACCATCTATAGGTAACTCCAGCTTTTTGGAACCAACACCCTCCTCACCAAGCATGCATGTGTTGCCAACACACGATCAGGCAAAACAACTCACCCATACACAAGAAATAAATGTTATAATTAAAAAGACAACAACATTGTTTGGTATTTTCTCTGTCTCAGAGTAGCAAATTAAAACTGTCTCACTGTCTCTTCAATAGTTGTCAAATTCAGCCTAAGTGAAGAAAAACTAAAAGGCCATGTAAGTAAGTATGGTGCCAGTCCAAGCCACAGCTGCTATACCAGAAGGAAAAGTTCCAGAATCAAGATCTAAGTTCCAGGAACAGCTGGCAGAATCATTTATCAAGCCACGGGAGGGGACCGGGCTTGCTATACCAGTGCACACTGAGGAGTAAGGAGGGAACTAGCCCAGGAGTCTGAAAGAACTTCCACATACAGGCCTGCACTAACCAAACCTGTGAAAGAAAACCCAGTTTCTAAACAATTTCAGCTTCCATTTTGGAGTGATATTTAGAATTTCGAAAGAAAACATCCTTGCTGGGTGGTGGTGGTGCACTCCTTAATCCCAGCACTTGAAGGAAGAAGCAGGCAGATCTCTGTGAGTTTGAGGTCAGCCTGGTCTACAGAGTGATCAAGGATAGCCAGGAATATAAAGAGAAACCCTGTCTCGGGCAGAAATAAACTAAAGTACACTCTTAAAGTCAAACTAACCCGCCTTTAAAATTCTCAGAGTTGAGCTGGGTGCTGGTGGCTCACGCTTTTAATCCCAGCAATGGGGAGGCAGAAGCAGGTGGATCACTGTGAGTTGAGGCCAGCCTGGTTGGTCTACAGAGCCAGTTCCAGGACAGGCTCCAAAGCAATACAAAGAAACCCTGTCTCGAAAAAATAAAAAAAAAAAATCTCAGAGTTGAGATATTATTATAATCTAAGTAATGGGCTAGAGGTGTAGGTATGCCAGGCCCAGGGATAAAGCCCCAACGCCAGAAAAGGGGAGTAAAAATGGATGCTTAGGTCCATACTTAAAGATATATACAATACTTGGAAATGCAAAAGAAAAGAAATTCAACCGTGATAAAACCCAACATACAAAATAAGGCAACAACAGCCAATCAGGTGCGTCAAAATGCACAGTATACATCTCACATTCCATCCTCCACTCACAGGAAGTGTTAAAGGGACTTACTTACACACCCTTCAGTCTACGCAGAGAAGTGGCTTCGGAATACACTTCCAAGTCACCTTCCACAGGTCCTTGGGGAGTATGTGCTCTGAGGATTCCCTTAAGGGTCCATCATATCTCGTCAAACTTCCTGCTTCCTGATTACAGAATAACAATCACTAAGTCCCAGAGACAGTGGGCTCAGGGGCCCAATGGCTCAGCATGGCGACAAAAGATCTCAAAGTCGACACGAGAAGTGATTCAACAAGTGGCAGCGCGCCCCAGGCGCAGCAGGCAGGCCTTACCGCCCGGCGTGCAGGAGCGCGCACAAGAGTGCTTGGGGCCTGGCCTGCTTGGAGGGGTCCCGGGACGAGCGACGACTTCGGAGAGCTGGGGCCAGGGGACTCTGGGGAGCTGAGGCCCAGGGGTCTTTGAGGTGCTGGTTCGCGGGACACGAGGACCGTGCTGGGCCCGGGGCGCGCGGGGACCTTAAGGTGCCGGGACGCCTGCCGGCCCGAGGGGATGGTGTTCGGCGAGCTGCGGCGATGCACCGGGCTCTCGACGTGCGGCTGCGCGGTGCGGACACCCCGGGCCGACAGCACCAGGACGCGGCGTTCTGGCGGCCGGAGTCTGTGGCGGGGCTCGAGCGAACGACGGCCCGGAGCACTCTCCGCGAGGCCGGCGAGCGCCGGGCTCCGTCAGTGGGGCGGGGCGCCAGCCGCGCAGGCTGCGCTCCGCGCGTGGGGACGACGCGCCTCAGCCACCTCGGAACAAAACCGCAGCCGACGCCCCGCCCCCTCCGGCCGCCCTCATTGGCCGCCGCTCCGTTACCGCCGCCCCGAGCCGACAGCAGCCCGCTCGCGCCGGGACGCGAGGAAGCCGCCGCAAGCTGTCGATTTTCAGCTGCGCCGCCGGGCGGGGCGCCGCCGCCGCCTGACTTGCTTGTTGTTGTAGGCGTGGCCCCCCCGACTTCCCGCCCTCCATTTCTCTCACTTCCCTCCCGCGTGCAATGTGCGCCGCCGCAGACCCCGCCCCCGGCGGGATCTCCGCCCTCTCGTGTGCGCCGGCGCGCACGGGGTATGACATTGACCTCCAGGTCTTAGCGGGGTGGCAAGCCGGAGATTTGCCACCTAAGGCTATGGGTAGCGCCTCGGTGGCTCCGGAATTCCAAGGCTTGCTGTGACCGCCTTCCTTTCTCTCTCTGCCTTTCTTTATTTTATTTTTTTCTTTTTTGAAACAAGGTTTCATTATGTAGTTCTGAACTGTTCTGGAACTCAGTATGTAGACCAGGCTAGCCTCGAACTCCCTGTGCCTCTTGCCTTCCGAGTACTGGAATTAAAAGCAGGCCAATCACGTCCTGCTCTCCCTCCTTTTCCTGGTTGGTAATGTGACCTTGGGGAAGTTCCTGCCCCGGGGGGGGGGGGGGGCCTCACCTCTGGACCTGCAGTGTGACTAGGAGGCTGGCTGCATCCACATTGATACAAGCAAGGAAAGCTGTTCTACAGGTTGGTGTGACTGAGAAGCACTTCCCAGAGTGCTGGAGCCCAGGCACAGCAAAAAGAGAATACATGTTTACTTGGCTAGGACTTGATATCATGACTCCCATCTGCAATGGCAGATGCCTGTGATCCATAGACACCCTTGTCCCCAAACAACAAAGTCAAAAAGTTGCTATTTGAGAAGGAAAATGGAGTAGTTCTGAAAGCATTTGGAGTAAGACCTGAAAAGGAATACATTAGAGAGCCACTGGTATTCTGGATGCTAGGGACACTAGGTGTCAGGCCAGGCCTCCACAGGTTGTGGACCCAGGAAGTCCAGTCCTGTACAGTTCAGAGGCCCAGCCAGTTGGGGTCAGGATCAACTAGAAAGAATGTCCTAGTGGGGCATTGATGGTGCAGCCTTTAATCTCAGCACTCAGGAGGCAGAGGCAGGAGGATCTCTGTGAGTTTGAGGCCAGCCTGATTTACAGAGCGAGTTCTAGGACAGGCTCCAAAGCCACACAGAGAGACCCTGTCTCAAAAACAAACAAAAATAACAGAACAAAAATGTCCTCACCTGCTGCATAGCCAGCTACAGGCCTTTAATTCTCTCCAGGTTTCTTGAGGACAGGGGGCTTGTGACCTGGATCCTAGCAGGCAGACATCTGGCAGGCACCTGTGCCTAAGAGGAACTCTGCCCAGAACAGCCCTCATCCCCACTCTCTGGGCAGATCTGGACCCATGGTGGCCTTCTCAAATCACCACGGTCACCTTGTGCTTCCCAAGCCCTGTGGCTGATTAAATTACATACACCACACAGCTCAGCTGTGTTTGAATAATTGCTAAAGGCTTTCAGGGACTGAGAGTCTGTGCCCTTTTAGGGTAATATTCATTGAGTTGATGAATTCACATAAAACCAAAAAGTGTCTCAAACCCTCCTGCAGGTCAGATTGTAGGGAATGGCTTGCAAGGCCAGCAGTGGGGTCTCATCCAATGTGTGATAATCCCACTTTGGCCATTGGTGATGCTGAGGACTTGTGCCAGTATCACAAGTGTTTATCAAGCCTCAAAGGTGATCAGCCAAGGGGAGGTACTAAAATCACCCTTGGTTCAGAGATAAGGAAGCTGCTGCTCCACCAAGGGGCTGGGCTGTGTCCCCTCCTGTGACATCAAGTAGAAATGTCACCAGTCTGTTTTCCTCAGTGCATGACTTCACCTCCCTCTGAGAATGCTACATACAGCGATCTGGAAGAAGCCAACTCCTCACTGGACCATGCTACCTAGATTGAAACCCTGCTGAGGGGAAGGATGTGCTGGCCTAACCTCCCACTTCCACTAGTATACTGCTAGAGCATTGGGACAGCCCAGACCATTCCAGTATATAGGTTTGCTAACACAGCTTCAAGGATGGGTGGGTGCCAAAGGAGCATTGTCATAGCCCACATCAGATCACCCCAACAAACCCTAGCTCACCTTGGTCTACTTTAGCTCACCCCAGGGCACCTCAGCAACCCCAATACATTACACACCTTAATATGCCCAAGCACACCAGTCAAACACACACTGACATGTGCCAGGACATCTCAAATCACCCCAACAGACTCTAGCACACCCAACATGCTTAAGCACAGCACAGGGTTTAGATGCCTCAGAGCATAGGATAAGGAGGGTAGTCTGAAGAAGGGCCTCAGGCTGCTGACATTGCCCTTAGTGCCTCCTATCCTATCCAAGGCTGATCAGACCAGAGGAGGCGTTAGTGAGCTGACAGGTATCCCAGATACATGACATATCTGAGCCAAACCAGCTGGTCAGTAGCCAACCTCTACATAATGGCTGTCACCTGCTCCAATCAGACACATCTGGGATAATATGCAGAGATCTCATGCAGACTCCTGTCCAAAGATGCTGAATGTTCTACATGGCAATAACTATTATTTTTCTGTGTTTGCCACATAATCTGCTACAAGTAGGCATCTCTCAACAATAGAAACAATCACCAAATGTAATGGTACTTGGACTCCCTGCCTTCTGGAAGCTGAGAAACAGTGTAAATTCAAGGCCAGCCTTAGCTATAGAACAAGATCCAATCTCAAAAAATTAAAAACTACAAAACTTCCAGAAACCTATTCTCCCATATTCCTGAGGCCAGGATTGTGAAATGCAGGTGTCACAAGCCTGCTCTCCCTTCCAAAGGTTCTGGGGAGGGTCCTTCTGTCCCTTCCTGTTTCTTGTCCATGTCACACTCCAGGCTCTGGCTCCTTTCCTCTGTGATTTGTTCCTCCGCTTTGGTTTTGGATTTCTCACTTTTTGGGTATTTTTTAATTTTTAAATTTTATTATGTGTATGAGTGTTTTGCCTGCATGTATGTCTGTATATCACATGCGTGCAGTGTTCCTGCAGAGGTCAGAAGAGGGTGTCAGGTCCTCTGGGACTTGAATTACAGACGGTTATGAACCACCATTTGGATGTTGAAAACCTCATCTGGGTCCTCTGAAAGAGAAACAAGTACTGTTAACTGTTGAGCCAACTCTCCTGTCCCTTTGGGGTTTTTTGGTTTGTTTGGTTGGTTGGTTGGTTTTTTGAGACAGGGTTTCTCTGTTTTTTGGAGGCTGTCCTGGAACTAGCTCTTGTAGACCAGGTTGGTCTTGAACTCACAGAGATTCGCCTGCCTCTGCCTTCTAGTGCTGGGACTAAAAGTGTGCGCCACCACCACCCAGCTCCCCTTTGATATTTTTTAAATAGTTTATTTATTTTAAATGGTGTCTTGCCTGCATGCATGTCTGTATGAGGATGTCAAGTCTTGGAGTTACAGACAGTTGTAAGCTGCCACGTGGGTGCTGGGAATTGAACCTGGATCCTCTGGAAGAGCAGCCAATGCTCTTAACCACTGAGCTATCTCTCCAGTCCCTCTTTGGTATTTTTTAAGGATATTGGTTATAGGATTTAGGGATCATTTGAGTAACTCAAGCTCCTTAACTACACCTGCAGAATCCCCTTCCCCTACTATAAAGTCTTCAGTGGCAAGAAAATCAGCTTTACTCTAGGTGTGGTCAGAAAAGTAGGGAGATTTCTAAAAAGCCAAGGTACCAACAACCAGCCTTGGGGCTCTGGTGTAGGCTGACTTCTAGGACAGCTAACACCCTACCTCCTAGGACTCACAACCTAGCTCATCCTTTTGGTGGACTACAAATGGTTTGCTTCTAACTACAGCGATGACAGGCCACACTGCAGTGACCATCTTTTGGTCACATTCTCTCCCCTACCTGTGTGAGGATTGGAAGGGACCTCAGGCTCAAACCTGTAACAGTGAAGTTGAAGTGGGTTCTTGCTGTAGAACAATCCTTTTTTACACTATGGATATCTATTACTCTCATTGGTTAATAAAAAGCTGACAGGCCAGTAGGTGGGCAGCAAGTTAGGCAGGAAAGCCAAATTAAGGATGATAAAAAGGAGGGCGAGGTGGAGAGATTCTAGCAGCTGCCCGGGAAGCAAGACATGCTAGAGGACAGGTAAAGCCATGAGGCACGAGGCAATACATAGATTAATAAAAATGGGTTAATTTAGCCAGGCACTGGTTGCACACGCCTTTAGTCCCAGCACTGGGGAGGCAGAGGCAGGCAGATCTCTCTGAGTTCGAGGTCACCTGGTCTACAACCCTGTCTCAAAAAAACAAAAAAAGGGATGGCTCACAAGTTAAAAGCACTTGCTATTTTTCCAGAGGTCCTGAGTTCAGTTCCCAGCAACCACAAGGTGGCTCAGAACCATCTATAATGAGATCTGGCGCCCTCTTCTGGCATGCAGGCAGAACACTGTATACATAATAAATAAATAAATCTTCCCTCAAAATGGGTTAATTTAAATGTAAGAGTTAGCTAGCAACAAGCCTGAGCAATTGGCCAAGCATTTATAAGTAATTTTAGGCCTCTGTGTCAGTTACTTGGGAGTAGACAGTTGGGACAGGAAATGTCCAATTACAGGTTTTCCCTTCAGACAAGAGTGTAGC